GGTGACTCATGAAAATCCAGCTGTACACTTATCTTGCCCATTGTGTTCACTGACATCAGGTCAGGATCTAGAAATCAGCATGTTTGAGTTTATTTATACCATATCTGTTAGAAAATATCAAAAATTAAGGCTTCTTTTTTCAGAGAAGAGTTTACCAATACCCCTGACCTGACTGTTCCTAACACAAAGGATTCTTGGACATCTACAGTGGCAGCCACCAAATTTGAGAACATTATTTTTTTCTTTGTCCTAGAGTCCAATGCTGCCCAAATATTATAGTATCCTAAAGTCCTGTCCACAGACTTAGCAACTTTTGAAGGAGCATTGGGCTTGGAATAAATGCCACTGGGCTTGATGCTTGTCCTTAAATGAGTGATAATTTCTTTGGGCTGCTTTAGCTTTAGCTCTAATAAAATTATGCATGGCAATTTGTGAGCAGCTTGAGCACACTGCATCCAGAAAAATTTAATGAGTTCTTAGTGAATCCGATCTTTGGAGAATCTAAAGAAGCGTTTAAACACCAGGCAGGTTGAATGACTTTAATATCATTTATTAAATCTACACTTACTATGTGTGTGTTGAGTAATGTTTGGTATGTGATGATATGCCATGGTGCTACCCTGAATGGGGCTTTGAATGTGGGCATTTAACAAATCATCGCCCTTAAGCTATGTAGATAGATCTGCAGTGCAGGTGGCTAGGAAGACCTGCACCCAAATGTCCCAGGAGCAGCTCAGGGGCCTCTGGAGCTCTCCATGGTGCTTTCTCTCACGTGCTTCAGCCTCTTCATTTCTGCAGTCTTGCTCCAATTCAAAACCCTAGACTCTGGTCCACCCTAGACTCCCGGTCCTTTTTCAAGGTACAGGTTACCTATTTGCAATCCCAAGACACCAGTGTATATCTAGTACACAGTTGTCTTTACCACTGGTTGTCTCACCACTGGTTTCATTGCAGTAGCCACTATGTTCCTAACTTAGACCAATGCACAACTAAAGAGATATGATTCCTCACTCAGAGAAGTAATATGACTCATATGCACTCCTAACACTTGCACAATGAAATGATTTGAAACACAACCGTTAGAATTTCTAGCCTATGGAAACTCTGTCAAATGCCTGGTGTCTAGAAAATTTCCTGTTTCGGATTAGGCCAAGATATTGTTCCTAGATTTCTCTCTTCCTACATTACAGAAGATGTAAGGAGAGGGTGACTTCATGGAAGGAAAGGAAACTTGACAATGTTCTATAATGGAAAGATGAGTTTTGAGCCATATTCTAATTTTAATTCAACCACGGCTTAAATCCACACAATATAAAAACCAAACAGAAAAACATTAAGACATTAATTTTGGTCTAACTAGCTTATTATATATATCCATTGAGAGCATCCCAAGAAATGCGTGGAATAACTGTTTTCTGGAGCTTCACAGCTCACACTCAGTTCTGCTATCTGTGTGAATTCGGTTTTGTTTATTTATTTTGAGAAAATTATTTAATGGCTCTTACCTGTAAAATAGTATCTTTTTCAGAGCTTTGGTGAGAATTAAGAGATAATTTATATTAAAGGGTTAGTTTCAGTGTGTGTTACATACAGATCAAAAATTTTCTCTCCTTCCTCCTTGGTTTTGCCATCATTATACATAAAACTTTTAGCACAACAAAACCTATTTTTAATGGAATTTCAGATAAGAAATAGAATTAATGAATAGCTTGCTTAATGAGTAGTAAGCTTTTGGGCACTTTATCATGAAGCGATTTAATGTGATGTTTAGAATACTAAAGATATTGCCTATTATAATTCTTTAAAAATAATTATTAAAGTTTGATAAATGTGGATTGAGCATGTAGCTCAGCTTGTACATTGCTTTCCTGGCATGTATGAGCCCCTGACTTCGATTCCCAATATTGTGAAGTGACAAAATATTTAATTTCTTCTTTCTATTGTATTTTAAGACAACTATTTTGGATTATTAACATCTTTTGTTCCTAACACCTTGATTAATCCTGAATAGGATATAATTGTGTATAAAAACTAACTCAGAGAGTCTTTCATTTAAAATCCCAAATTCTGGGGCTGGAGAGATGGCCTAGTGGTTAAAACACTGGCTGGTTTTGCAGAGGACATAGGTTACTCACAGCACCAACAACTTTTAGAAACTCCAGTTCTGGGGAGTCCGATGTCCTCTTCTGGCCTCTGTGGACATTTCATGCATGTGATTCACTTACATGCATACAGGCAAAACACTCATACACATAAAATAAAAATAAATCAAGAAAAGATTTTTTAAATCCTTCTAAATTCTATGCTGATATTTGTACTGTCTTATAGTATAATATAGAAACATTAAACTATGTTATTTTATGAGTTTAATTCTTCATATTAAAATATGAATTGCACAAAGATTAGTCATCCTTTATTAGTTAAAATAGTTTTTAAAGATCAAAATTAGCTTATTCTATATGATATAAGGGGCTCCTCTAAATCTACTTACTGCAGTATTGAGCATCCAGGTTAATTCATACGGCTTCAGTTAGTAAGCAGTGTCTTCAGGAAAGTTCAACATTATCCAAAGAAGCTGAATATCAGACTTAGCAAATTTTCTGTAAGTCTACCTATAATCTTTGATTTCAAATTAGTCAAAATCTATAGTTTGCTATTTAATTTGGGAGATTCATATTTTCTTTTAATATAGTGGACTAAATTGTGAGACTGAGACCCTTATACTGATACACATCATTTTTTGTAACCCTTGTGATAATGAATTATAGTACTTAGCATTACAACACCATTACAACACCATTTATGGTAAAACAACATCATGTTTTCACAAAGTTGTGTTTTCTCCTTTCTCTTCCTTCGTTTTCTTCAGATTAGATTTCTTACAGAATGAGGAAGAAATATTACAGTAATAGGCACATATCTCCTTATCCAATCTATGCCTCGTTGCCATATAGTAAGGAGCCACATTGAGTCAGGGGATGCTGATAGTTTGCAAATTGCTTGAGATGATCCTTCTTTAACCATGATGTGTCTTCAGGAGGCAGGCTATCAGATTTATATGTATTTTTAATTCATCTTCTTATTGCTTTGAACTTAGTACGTATACTTTCTGTATTTGGAGTTGAATCCATGTTAGGCACCTTCTCAAATGTTATCATGTCAATGTTTTTCTCTATCTCTCTTCTCTTAGTCTACTAATATGCTGATACTATGCGACATTTCATCTTAGTGATTAATGTAATAAAATAATGATGTACTATTGTTCTAAGTCTTCAGTGATTTTGAAATGTCAATACCTATACACTATTCACCAGAGATTTTTGATTCAGTATCTCTGGGATGGAGCCCAGGAGTCTGAACTTTTTAACCAAACAGTTCAAGTGATTTGGTATAGGTGTAGTGTTGGTGTAAGAGAGTCCCAGATCCTTTGAGAGAAACTGAGGGGGAGGCAAATGCTAATTCTCCATAGTGGATAGTGTCATACAGTGGGAGGGAGCCTAGATCCTGACCTTTGAATTAAAACTCTCCCTCTGCAGTTAGCAAATCTTGTGTACTTGGACAAACTACTTAACTTAGGGCCATCCTTATCTTTACACCGAGAAAAATTATATCTCTTTTCAAAGTTCACAATAAGGATTGAATAAGCCAATGTGTTTTAAAGGCCTGGGAATGCAAGAAATACCCAATAAATAGTATTATCATTTTACTCTGTGATCTAAATCCAAATAGTTCATTATTTATAAACATACCTGCCACTTTAGTACTTAGTTTTTGATTTGATATTAAATTCCACCACCATCACCTCTATGAGGGTTCAGCTGAACAGGCTGATCTATGCTTCTTTTGTGTATTTCTATTGCTGTATTTATTGCATTATATTAAGTATTTCCCTTTCTCCATCTATCTCCCTCAATAGCCATGGTGTGAACTCCATGTTTGACTCACAATTATATTTTGGCACCAAGCACCTTTGCCAGAAGGCTCCTGATCTGAGAACATCAGATGTTCGAAGTCTGGAAAATGGTCAGCTCTTGTACTTAAGCTGGCAGTAATGTTTCAGAGGCAAAGAAAAGAAAAAAATTCTAGAATTGAACTTGGATGGTATTTCTGGGAGAAAATGTAGTTGTTGTTTATTTTATCAGTTTTTGCTGAACATCTACCACGTGATGGCAGGGAAGAAAGCAGAGGTCCTGGCTACATGGAACTTTAGTTTACTTCAAGTTTTAGGTATTAGTGGCTGGACATTGACCTTTAAATGTTTACCTTCAAATGGTATTACACACCATTGGGTATGCAATATTTTACTGAATTATAGTTTAGTGTAGTTTACATGAGGAGTGTATTACAAAACTTGCGTGTTAAAATAGAGAATCACAGCTAAATTTAGAATACTCAGGTCAGAGCCTTAATTGTGAAACACCAATCTTTTGAAAAGATATTTTATTTATTTATTATTATTTTATGTGTAAGAATATATTGTCTGCATGTATGTAAGTGCACTGGTGTCATGCAATGCTCATGGCAGTCAGAAGAGAGCTTCAGATTCCCCTGGACCTGGAGTTATGGACAGTTGTTAGCCTCCATGTGGGTGGTGGGAATCAAACCCGGGTCCTTTGCAAGAGAAGCTTGTGCTCTCAACTGCTGACCCAATCTCTCCAGCCACTGGAAAATCAAACTTTAAAATATTTTATTTTGTTTTATTATTTTATGCCTATGAGTGTATTGTCTGCATGTATGTAAGTGCACCTGTGTCATGTAGTGCCTGAAGAGGTCAGAAGAGGGTGTCAAATCTCTTGGAACTGGAGTTATAGATGGTTGTTAGTCACCGTGTGGCTGCTGGGAACTGGACCATGGTCCTCTTCGAGAGCAGTCAGTGCTCTTACCCGCTGAGCCATCTTCTCCAGCCCTGAGAAACATCAATCTTAAACATTTTTCAGTTTATCATGCTGGTAGTGTTTATTGTAATCAATTACTTATTAGGTTTGTTGTTAAACTTTCAGACCTCCAGCAGTGGAAGGCACTCTGTTCGTATCACCGGCCTCAGCACTATTGATTTCCGAGCTGGCTTTTCCCGAAAGCCCACGCTGGACTTCAAAAATACCCTCAGCAGACCTGTGCAAGGTTTGTATGTATATGCCACTTAAACTGGTATAAGTGAAAATGATGTCCCAGGTGGCATAGGGTTTTGTGGATTTGTAGCATTCAATGACATTGAAAATCATAGCCTGTTTACTTAACCTGATTGCTCTTCTGCCTTACTTTTTGGCAAAGTATAGTTCTAAGACCAGTGACACCAGAATGATCCAAAAGCATCTGACACCTGACGGCACTCCATAACATTAAGATTCCCCTCTCCAGTCTTCTGAATTGCAACCACGGCAGTCAGGGCTAGGAATATGTATTTCAGTGAACACCCTAACTGAGCCTCTACTTACTAAATTTAGAACAGCATTTAGACATTGACATTTTTCATATTAAAATCTATAAATTACCTTGTCAGGATGAAGTGCATGCTGATAGATATTCAAAAGTGAAATTGTTACTGATTATTAAAGCTTATTCTTGTTCCATTAAATTTTATTATCTTATAGCTAAAACCAAAACTCAACCATACTGTGACCTTTACAATATTTTTCTGATATTTGCTTATTTATTTTTATTGCTGCAGTTGTGATTCACAGAAAGTGAATCTTTAAAAATATTTGTAGTTTTATGTAAAAACTCTGAAATTGTCATGAAGAATACTTTATAAACCACAAATCTTTATATTAAATAGAAAAACTTACCAATAATTAATGTGGTCATTTTAATAATCATAAATTTAAAATGTTCTAAATTTAAAAATATTTGTACAATCAAACATCATACAATATAATATTCACAGTTCTAATACTTCTATATGTAAGTATACTTAAAATGCCATAAAATGATACATAGAATTTCTCAAGTTTCTGTGGTGACATATATACTGTTTATATGAAGAAAAAAGTTCTACAACTGGTCTGGAATTTTCAGAGCAGTGTATAGGACTAATCCTTATGGTACTTACATGTTGCTATAATGTTAGTATTTGATGTATGGCCCTAATTGTGTGATGCTTGTAACTGAGAGCAAAGTCTTTCTCTTCTAGGAATACCTACCTATGTGCTGCTGAATACTTCAGGAATTTCCAGTCCAGCCAGAGTAGATCTTCTTGAACTTTTGAGTATCTCAGGAGATTCTCTTAAGAAGATTCCTGTTAAATATTACCCAGATCGAAAACCTTATGGCATATGGAATATTTCTGACTTTATACCACCAAATGAAGCTTTCTTTCTCAAAGTGACAGGCTATGATAAAGATGATTATCTCTTCCAGAGAGTGTCAAGTGTTTCATTTTCTAGTATTGTGCCAGGTAAGGCATTATTTACCCAACACTGGAATATTGCTAGCTTAAAGGGATAGTGCAGTCCAAAGGTAAAGAATGGACTGTGAAAGAAAGGACAGTTTCCTTATAAAGCTACTGTATCACCAAGTTTATTTGTATTTATACTTAGATAACCTGGTTTTCCTTAACTTCTAAATAACACTTCAAACGTTTCTCGTTGTCTTACTGATTGTGCATTTGAGAATTTTGATAACTTTTGTCCATGTAAGAACTTAAACTGGAAAATTCTGCTGCCCTCTTTTTCCCCCAAATACTTTAGTTATCTAAATTTTCTAAATATTTACATACAACTGTCAGGTGCCTTCTGTTCCATGAACTGTAGTGAACTGTGAACAAATGGTGATGATCCTACTAATTATTAACAAGTAATTAATAATCAATGTCAAATTTATATAATTAGTCAGTTAATTACTAAACTAGTCACTTAGTATATCTTCTATTATATACAGATGAGGTTATAAGTTAAGAATTATTTGGAAGCCAGAGAGATGACCCAATGGTCAAGAGCACTGGCTCTTTTGATCTAGGTTCTAGGTTCAATGCCTCCTAATACCGACATGGCAGCTAACAACATCCTGTAACTTCAGTTCCAGAGGAATCCGATGTACTCTTCTGACCTCCGAGGGCATTGCAGGACACAGGTGCACCTACATACATGCAGGCAATACACTCATACCAAAAAATAAAAATAACAAATAAAATATTTTTAAAAAGAATTACCTGGAGGCCCCAGGCCTCATCTATTTCTACCTGGGTGACTTCTCATTGACCAAACTCTGACCAAAAGCTTAGACCTATAACTTCAATCATAACTTACAAAGTAGAAATATTCCTTATAAAGTTGGGCAGGAACCAGAAACTTATCTTTTATATGTAAGCTTGAGATTTGTTAAATTAAGTCATAACTCTACAACTATTATTTAATCAATGTAAAATCATAAGAACAGAACCAACCCCAAGATTTCTTCACATGTTAATAGTGAAATACGTTGATTTCAAAATGCTACAGTATCTTAGATTCTTTCATAGGAAGTACCCAGAATCATTGTGACTTTTGTAACCTATATTGTTTTTATTTTCCTAGATGCTCCCAAAGTTACAATGTCCAAGAGAACGCCAGGATACTACCTGCGGCCAGGCCAAATCCTCTGCTCTGTTGAGAGTCTTTTGCCCTTTACCTTGAGCTTTGTGAGGAATGGAGTTGCACTGGGAGTAGATCAGTATTTAAAGTATGTAAATGTCTCTATCAGTAATAATTTATAGCAATGAACATATAAATACAACTCTCTACTTATTTGAATATACTCTTTCCCTACCAGTTACTTACTTGCCCTTGGTCTTAGAGTATAGAACTGAACAATATAGATATAAGTTTGTACCTAAGTAGAGCTCATATTGCCATGGAAGGAGACAGAAAACAGATAATAGACAAACTATGATGATATAAAAATTACTCATTTTATATAGTCTGAATTTTACATAAGTTGAAAGTCCCAAGTTGAGTCAAAGAATATAGAACTATGAATCCAACATAACAGACCTTGAAGGGCACCTTGCGAAAAAGAGCCCTGAAAACAGCTTCATTGGATTTGGAACCAAAGTGTCTGTGAATCTGATTTAAAGCTTTATGTGAAAAATGAATCTGATGAGTGCTAGGGTAAATTAACCCCAGGTTAATTAGAAATAATAACACTGGTAGATGAGATGCATGTGGCTTTGCAGTTTCAAGTTGCAAACTTAAAACCAGGTGAGAGGCATTTGAACAAACACCTAGCAATGGTGAGAGATGTGGTAGATCACATATCCTGGGGAGAGTTCACACACCAGCAAGAGCAAGTGCAAATGCACAAGACCAAGCAGACTGGGCAAGTGGGAGTGAAAGGCAGAAAGGAGGACAGTATATCTGGAGCCCAGTGAGCCAGGAGGTGAAGGGGAGGACACGTCAGGAAGTTCACGGTCTGCTAGAGCTGGCGGACATGGTGCCCCCGAAGCATGTGAGGACAATCAGTGGGAGTCTCCTAAAAGACACCAACTTTTCTTTCTAAGGCTGAGTGACTTTTTTCGATAAATGAAAGTAATCTAGTTGATAAAGACTGAGTAGATGTTGAAAATGGAAAAAAAATATTTCTGGACAATACCATCTCTTAAGTTACCATGAACAGACTAGATTTGGGGGGAAGGTTCTAAGAATTACTTGAGCAAGCTTTCTTTTAAAAATATTTGTTATTTTTATTTTATGTGTATGAGTGTATTACTTGCATGTATGTGAGTGCACCCATGTTGTGCAATGCTGCAGTCAGAAGAGGGCTTTGTATTTCCCTGGAACTGAAGCTAAGGACGGTTCATAGCCACCATGGGGGTGCTGGGAATCAAACCAGGGTCCTCTGCAAGAGCCGTCAGTGCTCTTAACCACTGAGCCATCTCTCCAGCCCCAAAATTACATGATCAATCTTTTACACTATTGATCCAATGTTAACACAAACTTCCATAAGATATTAACTGTTTGACAGTCTTAATTCACGTAATCTCTTTATGGAGATTCGTTTTAAGCAATACTTGTGGCTTACACATCCACCATAAAGAAGTTTTCCATTCTTTAATGTTTGAACTGTATTATTGCCTGCTCTATAATAACACAGTTCAATGATTTACTTAGTTGCCTGTTTTATAACCACCAATATGACCAAGCAGGATATCACATGGTGATGCTACATAACAGGCCGATGAAATAAAATATTTCAGCTTCCTGCTTAACTAGTGACATTTTTCAAAGACATTTGAGATTCTTTATAAACATTAACTCATTGATTCCACACAAGACCTGGGAGGTAAGCCACAAAAATTTGCCTTCTCATTTTTCCAGCTCTGTGGCCTTGAGATGTGACAGGCCTTGCTAACATGTATTAAGCTCTTTGGATGCAAGAGTCTAGGAGAAAATTAGGCACGGGTGATGACAGGCTGATACTCTAATCCCAATTCACTCACATGTCTCTGCCCCTAGATTTCCCAGTAATATGAAACATGGGACTTAATCTTCGTTTGTGTCAGCCACTTTGGCTGTCAGGGGATGGAAGAGAGAAGCAGCTTGCATTAGCAGTGGGACATATCTTTTGAATATGCTCTTTTCCCTGTTCCAAAGTCCATCTCTGTAAAACCTTGATTTTGTTGTGGTAATATAATGCTTATGTCTACTGAGAAGGCTACATGAAAAATAATTATTAAAACAGGCATATTAGCACATGCCTTCAATCCCAGCACTTGAGAGGCTGAGGCAAGAGGATTACAAGCTCAAGGCCAACCCGGGCTACATAATGAGACCTTGTCTCACTATGTGTATCTATAAAGAATATTCTTCAAGCAATTGGCAAACAGGTTATGTGCCCTATGAACAAATGTGTTATTGTTCTTTTTTTTTTTTAATGAAGAATTTGGGACCAGACAACTTTTTGTTTTGTGTTTTAATGTTTCCTTGAGCCTGGGCTTTTGATGATTCCTAATATGCTAATATGTGCTCAGCTTTGAGCTAGACATTGCATAGAACACCAAAGATGTATACATTTCAAGTTCTTACCTTCCTAGAACTTACAGGACTCCTAGAGAGTTACATTTGCTAAGTAGTGCCTAGTGTACTGCTGTGAAGAGTGTGAGACACAGCTAGTCTGTCCAGAGCAGTGCATAGTGGAGCGATAGTCTATTTTTTTCTGAATGTAGCACAAAGTACCACTGGCACACAGTGCCCACAGAATCCAGGAAACACTAGCGAGGTATTCTCAGCTACTATACTGTGCAAAGCAGGGACTCCTTAGGCTCTCACGTTCCTGATGATAGGAAGCTCTGCTTTAACTTGTTATTCCAAACTCTATGTCATAGCTAAACATGAAATCAGGGTGCAGTAGGCTACTCATGGTTGCTTTGGTAAGTAGTGTTTGAGTGGGAGAGCTCTCCCAGGGGGAATGGTCTCTTAAACCACTCAGAAACTGGTGGGTGACTCTGCAGGGACTTTTATCTTCAATTAAAAAAAAAGTTAGGATTAACTATAGATGATAAAAGAAAAAAATTATAAAAATATTTTTATTTCAACTGCATTTGAAAAAAAGAATTTTAACAGTGTTGGAAAGGATAAATGTTTATTAAATGAATGAATGCATAATGTAGCAGAATTTTTTCAAAGATATAGAGTTTGCCTACTAAATTTATATATATATTTCTTTTCTTGTAGCTTATTGTATGTCCAGGCTAAACATGATACAATATTATAGGCCCAGGTGGAGCATCTAAAAGAAAGTTAAAGAGAATTTATATTTGTAAATCAAAAAGCTAGTTTCCTACCTTCACATTTTTAACTTACCATGCTTTACTGTATTGCTTAGGAGTCCCAACCAAAAACTGGAAAAGACAGGATTGCGGAGGGGGTGGCGTTCTTCGACTGTTTGTCCGCTCAATCATATTTTTATATATCCAGAAAGAAAATTCTCTAAAAGTAATTTTTCATTCTTATAGTTTATTGTCTCATTTTTTCTCAGAATAGAAAAGCTTAACTCTGGTTGAAATGTAAAAGGTGTGTAATTTTAAGTGAAAAGTTAATCTGAAGTTTATCGGTTTATGTTCTTTCCATCATTCTTTTGAACGAGCCCTTCAATAACTGACAGCGCGCTGCTTTCAATTCGCTCTTGTTTTATAGCAACTGAAAGCTTTCTTTTTCCTTGTCCCCAGAGAATCTGCCAGTGTGAACTTGGATATTGAAAAGGTGGCTTTGTCTGATGAAGGCTCTTATGAATGCATTGCTGTCAGCAGCGCGGGGACTGGACGGGCACAGACATTTTTTGATGTATCAGGTAATTGTCTTCAACTTCTTTTCTGTCACCTAACTATGAATGAACCCACGGAAATGAGATGTTAATATGCACTTGCATTTATTCATTTTTCTTGATGACTTCATAGTTGTCTATTGACTCCATTGGATTGTGAACTCAGATCTTGGCTTCATCACATTCTGCCTTTGTGACTTTCTCTGTAGCATCCTTAAGGATTTAATACCTGACTTCCCTAACTATAAATAAGGATGATAAGGCAATATCTATTCCGTGGAGGTTAGGTGATGTATGCAATATGTACAAGGCACTTTGAAGGTAGCTTGGCACCTAGAAGCATTTAATGGACTGTCATTGTTATTATTTTTTATTAATTTTTTCATTATATGTGTGTGTGTGTGTGTGTGTGTGTGTGTGTGTGTGTGATGCATGTAGGTACCTGTAGAGGAGGCCAGAAGTATTGAACTGCCCTGCAGCTGGAGTTATAGGTGGTTGTGAGCTGCCCAACTTTGCTGGAAACTGAACTTTGTCTTCTCTAGTAGCAATCATGCTCTTAACTGCTGAGCCATCTCTTCAGCCCTATTTTAATTATTAATATTGTTATTGTCATCACTGTTATCATTACTCTAAGGAATTAATAAATAATTTTTGGTAATCATATGGTATTGCCCTTTGAGATAATAAAGTTTTAGGGAAGGACCTATTCTGAGAATAACAGGGGCATAAGCTTCCCCTTTCTTGCATATATAATGATAAGGAATTTTTTATGAATAGATTCTGACAAAAAATTGAAGACAATAATGAAACTGATCACATTCTATGAACACAGCCTTAGTGGATAGAATATAACTACAAATAAGGACAGAAGTAATGCTAGTTATTTTGCATTCAGACAGTAAGTTTTTTGTGACTTTGTGGGAGGCACAATTAATAATATTTTGTAAGGTAAAATAATATTAAGGTAAAAAAACATTGTCCTTTAATTTTCTAGAATTCTTAGGGGGAATGTTTACTGATAAAAATCAATGATCGTGCTTAAACCACTTACTCAATATGTAGCTATATTTTGAATATTCTTTTTTAAAATTCTTTTTTCTTTTAAAAATTTTATTATTTATTATTTTATTTTATGTGTATGCACATATTGCCTGCATGTAAGTAAGTGCACCTGTGTCATGCAATGCGCGTGGAAGACAGAAGAGGTTGTCGGGTCCCCTGGAACTGGAGTTACAGTTGTTAGCTCCCATGTGGGTGCTGGGATTTGATCCTGGGTCTTCTGCATGAACAGTCAGTGTCGTTAACCACTAAGCCATCTGTCCAGCCCCCTGAATATTCTTTTTTCAATACTGGGGATTGAACCCAGGATCTCACATAAATAAGTCCTAGGCAAGCACTTCATTTTCACTGAATTATTTTCTGTCGGTCTCATTAACTAGAGTTTGCCTTTGTTAATAGTAGCCTCATCTAACCCTGGTGTCGCTGTTCTAGTTATAACAATGTCTATATTTGCTTTCAGTGTGTATTTTCCTGATAATTTAAGACAGAAGCAATGTTTTAGTTATAAGATGGTTTAGAATCCTAGAGTTTGTTGTGTCCAACCTGAACTTTGAAAGAGGGGTATGTAAATCAGGCAGACGTCTTCTTCTCTCAGTGAAACTATTTGTATTTCTTATTCTTAGGAAAATGAAGATTGGCCCCTCAAATAGCTTAGCAAGTTGACATATATCACAAACTATGTTTTTTTCCATCTCCAGAAATTATGAAGAGCCCTGGAATTGTGTCAACATTCCTAAGCTTCTGGGAAAGTAAATACTTGGGCGCTTGAGTATTCTTCCCAGCAGTCTTAATTAAGATGAGGAGAGGAGGGAAAGAGGCTTGAGCGAGTTGATTAGGCATCTTGCATAAGTAATTGGGAGGTGCCAGTAAGAACTTCTGAACTGACTGTTGGGAAGCTGGCTCTGTGGTGCCAGTGACTTCAGTATGTGTATTCTGCGCATGCCTTGTTTGCTTTCATCTGCACCAGCCAGGTACTGACATAACTGTGGAGCTGTACTGTTCCCAAGCTGATTTTCTGTAATTATTCCATTCGGTCATTTATGAATGAAGGTAAAAGCATCAGTGGAAATGGCACTGACCTAACAGCAGGAAAAACAAAAGAGTGTTCCATAGGGTGTGAAAGGGTGACCATTTCTTTCAGGCTAGCTGATGCTTAGCATTCCAGGGGTTAGCCTCCACCTACTTCTTAATTTCCCTTTGCCTAGCCTGAGGTCCCAGCTCAGTCAACCTCCTGTAATTACTTATCTATATATGGGAATCAGGTGCCAATTCACTAGACTGCCTGATCTCAGATTTTGTACAGAAGTATTAGGAAGTGAGCATTATGAGATATTGATATTCTTGCATCACCACAAACATTATTATATAAAGTCAAAGACCCGCCAGTAGCCATTTGCAGAGGATCCAAAATTTGCAGACATATTCCTTCACGGTTTTTGAGCACTTTGTTGTAGTTGATATGTTCAAGGATGTTTGGCTCATTTCAGATGTTGGTTGTTTTTGTTCTAAATACAAAATGGGTAAACAAGCATTTATTTAATATGAAAGGGTAGAAAACAATGACTAAACATTAGTTGGTTTAGTTTAATATTACTACAATTATATTAATTTTCTGTATTGATTTTATTTATTTATTTAATTAATTTTTTGTGACAGAGTTTTCCTGTAGCCCCAGTTGGCCTGGAACACACTATGTAGATCAAGCTGGCCTCAGCTTCACAGAGATTCACTTGCCTCTGCCTCCTGAGTGCTAAAGATGTGCACCACCATGCCCAGCTCTATTGATATTTTAATATGAAACATCTTTTCTCTCTCTTTCTCTCTGTGTCTCCCTTTTTCCCTCTCTCTCTCTCCCCCCCCTTAAATTCTGGGATTAAGTAAAATTCTACACAAAGAGAATTTGTCAAGGGCATGTCCATGAAAGGAAATCTTGATTTAAGATGACCAAACTTTTTTTTTTCAGAATACGGTAAGACTTGGAACTAACCAATCTGGTAACATGTCATCGTTTTATAGCTAAAGAAACAGAAGTCTTGAGGGAACTAGTGACCCATTTATGATCCGGTGGACATGTGCATGAAGTAGATCCCTGGCCTCCTGACTCACAGCCCAGAGTTCCTTCCTGACAGCACCAGGCCGGTGAATGCTGTGCTTCCTATCTGAGGTTCCTTCCCCAGCTCACACCATACTCATGACATTACTTTCAAATGCTGTTCCTTATGCTCCAGGAGCAGATTGTTTCTGGTAATATATAATCTTAGCCTCCTGCACAAGCTTCCATAGTTCTTTCTCATCATCCCCTGGTCCCTACCAGATGTACTTAATATGTACAAATATTTCAGAGTGCATAATCTTCACTATCTTCAGGTATTTGTGCACCAGCAGTATCGTATCTTATTTCAAGTTTATTTACCCACATGTTACTAAAAATGATCATTTCACTTATTTCAATTTATATGAATAGGAAATAACCCAAGGCATAGCAAGGAGGCAGAGTGTCAGGGAGAACTCACTAGGAAAAGACACTTGTGAACAAGTGGAGAGACATGAATTATGACACAGTTTCAAGAAAGCTTCATCTGACCTCCCAGGGAACTTGGGAGCTGGAGCAGCCTTGAATTGAGGCAGGAAAGCAGAGGTTTTATTCCATCTAAAGTGGTCATTGGATGTGGGCTACACTGAGCAGGTGGCTTAATCCTGGCAGGTGAGCACTACAAAACCTTGGAGTCAGGAGTCTTTAAGGTTATTTGATTTAACCAACCCACTGCTCAGACAGATAAACAAGATATTAAGTTGGCTTTGCCAAAGTTACACAATTAATTATGAATAAAACTAAGCATCCTATTACTACTGTCCACACTTGAACAAAAACACAGCATTCCTAGTTAAATTCTGTCTTTGCACATGTGTGTCCCAAATGTTGTTGAAATTCGAATTTAATGATGTCCGGCGTCCTATATTTTATGTGCCCGTCCTATCCAGACTCCAAAGTTTTCTAACATCTCTACTCTTTCCATTGAATTTATCAGGTATTTTCATAAGCGGTTTTGATAAAGAGTTTTTAAGTTACTGAAAACTGATGAAGATTCATATTTATTTAAAATTTTTAAATAGCACATTTTCTTTCAGAGAGTTGTGGAAGACAAGGGCAGATGTAGCAGAGAGAGTTCCCATACACTTTGTCATTCAGAGACAAGCCCTGCCTTTGTGCCCGCTTGTTCCCAGTCTTTATTCTGGGCCTGTACCATTTAGCCACACTTGTGTGTAGTTTTAAATCACACAGGGTTCAGTTTAATTCTGAGTATCTGATAAACTTTAATATTTAACTAAAATAGACACGTGTGGGTTGCCAATGTGCAATGATCATCATGGTTTTTATTACAACATCCTAAGAGACTTTCAAAGAAGATCATTTGAAAGCCTTTGGCAGAGACCTGTAGAAGGGCGACTTGTCTTCAAAATTAATTCTAGCTACATGTGACTGTCCTCAAAAATCTTGCTTAAATATTTAATTATCCATTGGGTTTTGAGCCAGTGTGAAATAGTCATGCACTTGACTTGATGCCTTTTGTGTGCATAGTTCTGTTTGTAATTTTGCTTAAGGTCTGTCCCTACATTCCATTCAGCCTTCTTGGATGAAATAGTTCTTCAGCCCTGCTGAAGGAGTAAGCATCTTACCCTATGGCTGCACTGTTTCTCCCAATGCTCCCTCTGGTATTGCAGTGTCTTTCCATGCCTTCCATTTGTTGGGTGTGATATTCTTTAAAACACTCAGATCTATTATTAAGTGTAAACGATCAATAAATATGACCATCGCAAGGAGTGAAAACCCTGCTGTATTCCACAGTCCTAAGTCCACCCCCATCCTTTTGCCATGCTGCTTCACCTCTCGCATTTATAACTTATAGGTCTGAATTTCAGTATGCATTGGTGTTTTATGTACATTGCTTTCTAAAGTGTCTCGTAACTAGACGATAGCTTAGAAGAATTCACTGACAAGCCATTACCAGTAATTTCTGTTGTACTGCATCTTTCCTACAAGGAACACAGATTTATCTATAGGTGAGCAAAATGGGTTTGAGGTCTTCTGATTTGAATCTTTTGATTTCATACAGAGCCTCCTCCCATCATCCAAGTGCTTAATAACATTACAGTCACTCCTGGAGAAACAGCAGTTTTGACGTGTCTTGTCATCAGTGCTGTGCATTACAATCTAACCTGGCAGAGGAATGGCAGAGATATCAGACTGGCAGATCCAGCAAGAATTAGGACTCTGGCCGATCTCTCACTGGAGCTGAGGAGCGTGAAAGTCAGCGATGCAGGGGAGTACAGTTGTTTGGTGTCCAGTGAAGGTGGATCAACAGAAGCTTCAGTCTTCCTCATAGTGCAAGGTACTTTTGTGTGTTTACATCTTCCTTCTTCAGTTTCTGTCCTTACAAGTGTGCTAAACAAAAATGACAGTATCGAAAAAGAATGCTTAGGAATCTTCAGGTGTCTAAACCTGACTAAGCTGGAACCGAAAACATCACTAACAGATAGCTTTACCTCAGTCATGACTAATCCTACCAGTTGCAGATAGATGTTAAAGGAGTGTATAAATTGTCCTTGGATGCTTTAATGTTTTAAAATTCTCTATCGTGTGGATTTCAGACAAGATCAAATGTGTTTAGGGTGAATAGGCATAGGCAATCCCCATAAGGATTTTAATAAAATTCTGGTTATTTCAATAATCGTTTAATCTGCTTCCCTGTCTGGGCCACGCTTCACACTGCCTGCGTTTTCATCTTGTTGCCATCTGATCGTGCCACTCTTTATAACTGTCTCTTAAGGCTGTCTCTCACCTTGAGGTTGTGGCAAGTTGAATTCAGGCTCACTGACTTGTTACTCTTCCCTGACCCCCTTGGTAATCTCGTTTAAAACTCCTATATTTTTGAGACTGGCTCACTCATTGGCCTGAAACTCAAGTACACTAAAGTGGTTGTCGATGAACCCTAGGCATCTTCCTGTCTCCTGCTCCCCAGTGCTGGGATTATAAACCCACACCCGATGCCTGGCTTTTCTCCGTGGATTCTAGGGAGCTCCTCACATTTACAAGGCAAGCCCTTGGCCGACAGTGCTCTCCCTAGCCCTCTACTAATATATTTTAAACACAACTTTAAAATGCTTGTTATCTTGGTGAAATGTTGTTGACATTTATTCATTTGTTTTGAACCTTGTTTCTCTTACAAACAGACACACATAGAGACATGCACACACTGAGTGTTCATTGAAAGTAAAGTAATGCTAATCCAATCTTTATTTGAAATTTTTTATTATATTTACTTACTGTGTCTGTATTTGAAATTTTTTTATTATATTTACTTACTGTATCTGCATGCATGGTGTTCATTGAAAGTAAAGTAATGCTAATCCAATCTTTATTTGAAATTTTTTTATTATATTTACTTACTGTGTCTGTATTTGAATTTTTTTTATTATATTTACTTACTGTGTCTGTATGCATGTACGTGCGTGCATGCTTGCATGTGTGCATGTGTGTGTGTGTGTGTGTGTGTGTGTGTGTGTGTGTATTCATGCATTCATGTGCCACAGTGTACTTATGGAGGCCAGAGGACAGCTTGTGGGAGTTTGTTCTCTTCTTCTAGCACGTGGATTCCAGGGAGCAAACTGGGGCCCTCAGGCTTCTTGACAATTGCCTTTAGCTGCTGAGCCATCTCTCTAGCCCCTAAGTCAATCTTGCATTATGTCTACATAGACTAAAAGTTCAGATCATTGAAAATGGGTGTATTAGTAATACAGTTTAACTACTAAATATATATTATAGATAATTATGTATATAATTGACAGCCATCAACTGAAGATCAGAAACTCTCCAAAGTTTGTCTTTCAGTAGAAAAATTAAGGCTCTAAGTACCTGTTAACTGGCTAAAAGTCTTAATGTAATGGGAAAATTACTCTTGGCACTTTATCACTGTTCAGTCGAAAGAGTTGATTGCTGCCTCAACAGAATATTTAATTTCAAATGCTTACTGTGGGAAAATGATTGCATTAGAACAGGGTCTGCTATTTGTTTATGGCATTAGACACAGCTTTATGACATGCCTGAAGTATGAAAGAGAGCAACCATTTGAAGACAGAATGTTATTAAAGACAGAAAAGTTAACCTGCTGTGAGAATTAACAAAATGGCTGACATCTGATTATGCTTTCTTCATGGTCCTTGAGGTTTCCAGCCCCTTGAAAGTGTATATCTTTTATTAAACTGGTGATGCCTCTAGGGAAATGTTGATTTTTGTAAAGGGCTCAATAAATTTCCACATGTTAATTGCCTAGGAGATAATCAGAATCAATTCACTTAGCATTTGGGTTACTAAAGTTTTGGAACCATTTTTGCCACACTGATTATTTCACATAAAGTAAATGGTAATGGGCTTCTGGAATTTAATATTTTTTCTTTGCTTTAAGTCCCTCAGAGAGAGAATGTAGAATAAAAGGAGAATTCTCATATACTGTTGGTAAGAATGTAAATTAGTATAGCCATTATGGAAACAATATCAAGATTCCTCTAAAAATTAAAAGCAGAACTGCCATTTGATCCAGCAATCCCACTAATGGGCTATCTCAAGGAAGTAAAACCATTACACCATATGAACACTTCCATGTTTACTGCACAACTATTTACAATACTGAAATATAGAATAAACCCAGAGGCTCTTCAGTTGATGAATGGATAAAGAACATTCATATAGACGCAGGACCAACGATTATTCAGCCATCAAAATACTGAAATACATTGTCTGCAGCAGCACGAGGAACTGGGGGTCACTGCACCAAGTGAAAGAAGACAGGCACAGGACACAGCTTCCCAACTCACATATTCTTACTCATTTGTGGAAAGTCAGTCTCATAGAACAGATTTAAGTAGTGCTCATCAGAGACAGAGATGGATGATGGTATGGGGAGATGAAGTCTCATAAGGGCTACCAAAGCACAGTAAGAGTGGCAGAATTTCTTCTGGCTTTTCTTTAGTACAATAAAGTAAATGTCAATTAAAATAATTTATGGTACATTTTAAAATGACTAGAAGAGTATGAAACTCCCAACACACAAAATACTCTTTGAAAAGATAAAAGTGCTTTTTATCCTGATTTGGTCATAGTCAAGCACATAATTAAATTATCATAATGTACCTCATAAAGATGGATAAATATTGTGTTTCAAGAAAAAGAAACAATATTGTGTTGCAAATCTGACCTAAAGGTACCTTTGTATAAACTTGGAACTTGGGATATAGTGCATAATTAATAGTTGAATAGCAAAAATTTTTTTATGGAAATTTAAAATAAAGAATTGAAATTCCATCTAAGATTTAAACAAAGTCAACTAAAAATAAAGAAATAATAACAGAGTTCAAGGAAACGGTCCTGGAAGAGCAGTTGTTCTGTGCGGTCACTGCCAACTTACCTTTGTATAAACTTGGAACTTGGGATATAGTGCATAATTAATAGTTGAATAGCAAAAATTTTTTTATGGAAATTTAAAATAAAGAATTGAAATTCCATCTAAGATTTAAACAAAGTCAACTAAAAATAAAGAAATAATAACAGAGTTCAAGGAAACAGTCCTGGAAGAACAGTTGTTCTGTGCGGTCACCGCCAACTGTGGCCACTCCTCCATTCTCGTGGATGCCGCTCCTTTGTTCTCATGGGCGTCGAGGGTGCTCCTCCGCTCGCCCAGGGCTGAGGCCACTCTTCTGCCTGCCCTGGGCTGAAGCCGCTCTTAGGCAGATCTTCTGCTCACCCAGTGCTGAAGCAGCTCTTCTGCTCACCTGGCACTACCTCCTATCATCACTGCTTCTGCCCAGTCCCAGACCCCAGGGCTGGTGAGGAGACTGTGTCAGCGGAGCCGCATTCAGACACAGGAGACCAGGTTCAGTGACACAGGTCTGCTTTATTGCAGGATGGCACAAGCTTATATAGGGGTAGTGGTCCAATCACAGCACAGCAAGTAAGATACCTTATTATCATAACAGGTTTAGCGTCCTATCATAGTACAGCAAGTGGGATACCTTATTAGCATAACAGACTTAGCGTCCTATTAGCATAACAGACTTAATGTCCTATCACAGTATAGCAGGTAGGATGCCTCATTGGCATACTGGGTTTCAGATTAGAGAGCCTGGATTCCTGGAAACCACGTGACCCTGACTGTTGCAATATCTAAGTGTTGCGATTTTGGATTCCAAGGGTGGTGATTAGGGAGTGGCAATCTCTAGGCATCAGTCTCATGATCTGCCAATGGGAGCAAATGTCACAAGGCGTTCCTTGTGGCTCCAGTGGTCGGGCTGTTGCCTTAGGCCTGCTGTGTGGTTGTCAATAAGACTTTCACCCTAGGCTCAAGCCTGTCTCCCACATCTCCCCATTTTTTATTTTTAAAGGTGAGGTATAGTTTAGAATATATAGCATATTGATATCAGTCCAGATACATCAAGGCAAAGTAGAATGGCTCAGGGGTTCATTGTATCAAGAGCTCCCTCCCTCAAGATGGTGAGCTTTCTTAAGAGCAGGTTGTACCAACTCCATGCCAACCAGTGGGAGTCAGGATTCTTTGCCTCGGCATTGTTGTCCCCACCTCAAGGGTCACCCAGCATAATGGACTGTGCCTGTCTTAGGTTGTCCTGTCTGTCGGGATCTTACCCATCATTGACTACCAGCCCTTGAGGGGTAGGTCCCTTTGTGTGGTTTGGCAGAAGGAGAGGCAGTACATCCAGTATTGGCTTGTTTAAAAGCCTCCTCAGGGGTCAAGAATTTGTTGAAACCCATCAGAGGCCAATTATAGGTAGGTAAGGGCAAGGAACAGTGGTTCCTTGTTTGCAGAGACATGCCTGGCAAGATCTGGAGGCAGGGCACCAGCTAACTGAACTAGCCTTAACAAAATTAACAATGTAGGGTCCAAAAATTAGGAGATACCAGTAATGGCTATAGTCTCTGCTTGTGAAGTGAGATGCTCAAGGTCATCCCAGGTTATCAAGTGTGCCGTTGGAGCCAGTTGCTTTCGTGGTCTGTGACCCCAGGTCAGTCTCTTGGTGGTTGAGAGGTGCATTGCTTCCTCCAGGGTCAGGGCTGCCATCTCTAGGGTCAGTGGCTGTGAAGGGAGGGTTTCCATTGCAGGCAACTCTAATGTTCCCAGCTGGGATCCAAATGGGGGCTGGAACATTGTCTGGAAAGACACAAGCATAGCTTCCCCCTTGCGTTAACAACAGGTGTCAATAATATGATGGACATATTTGAGCTTGCCAAAGGAAGGGGAATGAGTAACATCCGTCTGCCAGATCTTGTTAGGGAAGGTGTGAGACCAATGACCCAGTTCTCCACAAGCCCAACATTTGCCCT